CTAAGAGGAAGAGCAACGTAGATGTAAATCCCTAGAACCTTCAGGATCCTTTGCTTTTTAAACTGTGCTTGGTTTGCACCTCAAAAATAAGGCAGCGTGTGCAGAAAAGGGACTAAAGATGCTAAAGATGGTTGGCAGGTTGTCCCAGAGCCAGGCAGACTGGCAGGGCTGGCTGTTCCACACAGCAAGGGCAGTTTGCCGTCAGTGTCCACTCATGTTTCCAAAGTTTTGGTGCATTCATCCAGCAAGTTACTTCAAAACAAATAAAATAGTCTGGATTCAACACCACCTTCCAAGTGACTTTCACGAAATCAGGACATATTTGTTAGATCTTGAGTCAAGGCAGTCCCGTGTCTGTGTATGTCTGGGAATAACGTGACACAGGTAAGCAGGGCCAGCAAAGACTGCATTTGGATGTGAGGATAATTTCTGAATCAGCTTCAAAAGCTTTGTTTTGCTCAGTGACAAGTGAGATGATTAACACCAGGATGACTTGCTTTCATTTGCACAGAACACATGGTTCTCTGGCTGAAACCATAAATTTTCCTGGCAAACCTCTGACACAAGAAAGGGCTGGCAGTCCAAATGTGTATCGGGATGCAGGCTGACATAGGAACTTGGCTCTTGCTGAGCAGGAGAGATTCCTGGGCATGGCTGGTTCTCTTTTGTGGCTCTGAGGAGAGGGTAAGACTTCTGTGCTTGCCTGTCCTTGGAGCTGAGCCACTGGCTGGGGTGAGCACACAGCCTACAGGCAGCCACTGTCCCCCAGGCGTTTTGGAAAACCCATTTTCCAGGGAGATACAGTTGTGGTCAAGAAGTCTGATGGCTTACATTAATTCCTCACATAGCTTTTCAAAGATGAGACATGAGCACAAGCAAAGTGCCATGTGCTCTGAAATACTGTGGATTAAGCTCCTGAATATATTATTTACTACTTCTGCATAGCAATTACTCAAGGTTTTTCTGGGGGAGAGGAAAGTCTGCTTATGTTTCAGAGAAATTTAAGTCCTATGCTTCTCTAAATACACAAGAGTAAGTTCACCCAAATATTTTGCTCCCTGAAGTATCCCTTCTTCCTGACATTTCTTCTCTTACTGGGTTGTCCAAGGGCACAATTAAACCCAGATCTTATCTTCCAGGGACAAACACGGGGTCAGTGTCAGGAAATAAAGTAGTTGGGCAGCTAGAACAGTTGTTAAAGCATCATATTATTGCCTGGATCCTTCAGGCTTTTTTACTGGTCTTTTAAGGTACGCACTGAAATACAGAATAATAATGTATATTAACTGGTATTAATCTCTTCCCACTCTGAAGAGATGGCAGTCTAAATTAAGCAACATACAAAAAGCCAGATGATGGAGGCAGACTATTCTATTAGTTAAATTTGCATTCAGCTCAGCGCTCTCATTTGCAGAATAATTTGCACCTGTACTTTGCACCAGTTTGAGGCAGCATTCTTGGGTCTGCAGATGAAACTTGGTGAGAAGGTGTAAATAGAGACAAATTAACTATTTGTTCAGGTAGTTCAGATCCTGGCTAATTATGCTTATATCTACAGCAGCAGTTCTGCACAGGAATAAATCATGTCATGTCATTCTGTGAGTGCATTTTTACTTGTAGAAGTCACTTGGCTGTAAAAGTATAGATCAAATCACATTTTTTTTTTCTTTTCGTAATAAAATAAAAAATATATATTTCAACATAGGCATAACCTCCAACTAATTGTTCCAGCTTACCTTATCTGTCTACAATTAACATTGAATTGCATTTGCCATTTTTCAGCCTCCAATTATGTTGTACAGATAAGGACTGAAAAACCCAAGAGTTTAAATGTAGCCCTTTTGGGGTAGGACTCTGATTTGATTCAAATTATAATGGCATTTTTATTACTATATTTCAAAAGCAGTTTTCCCTGATTTCTAATCTGTAGCTAGACCTCATTTTTGTGGCTGGCTTAACACAAGCATGAGACCCATTGTTATATGGGACTTCCCCTCTCCCCCAGTTTCTAAATGCAACAACTAACAGATATGATTGTAACATTCAAGATAAAACGAGGGCACAGAGATGCAACATATAATCTTGGTACTTAGTGAAACATATACTTTACAAGAACTGCATTTATACCCAGCACTGATTTGCTCTGCCACTGTGCTGAGTTGTTTGATAAATACAGAGTTCCATACAACCAGAATTCCTTGGATATATATTATTGGGGCAGAATCTCTTCCCCCAACAGAGCCTTAGAAAACTAAATATAAATGCCTAAAATGAAACCTAGTCATGAATTGCAATTGTAACACAAACCTGCATTAAAGCCAGTGAGAGTTTTGGGCACTCAAGAATGCAGGGGACTTTATATAAACCATCCCAGGCAAGAATCACATTACTAATTAGCAACTGGCCAAAATAAACAGGGATCAAGGACATTGTGAAGCTAAAATAAGAAGAAAATCTTACTCAAAATGCAAGCCAAACTTTTCTAGTTTTGAAAGTCCAATTGCCCATTCTGATCTCTTCTTTCTTGCAGGACTAGTAACTGTGAGGTATTTTCCAAGCTTCTAGGTAAATGAGTCTTTTTTCCTCTTTCTTTTCCGAGAGATGGAATCAGCAGCATGAAGCTTTGCAGTGCCTTGGCATGCTGGACTGTCCCAAAACTCTCATTCTCCCCTAAGTTGTCCTCCTCTGCCAGTTCTACTGTCAGATAAAAGAGGCAGCTTAGGCAACCTGCCAGAAGGACTTCTGTTCAACAGTAGGATTAACCTTCATTTTACAAGGTCCTCAACAGCAATCTTTTGGGTTGCTTTTTTTTCACTATTCACCTCTACTTCGTATTCTGAGGAGCAGATGACCCTCCCTTATCAATAAGGGATTTGGTCCTGCATCCTCCCCTACCTCTGTGGGCACAGCAGGCTCCTCCTGGCCTGCAAGGCTCAGAGCCCTGTTCTCCCACCAATGCCTGCTCCCAGATGTAGATCACTAGAAAGCTTTTGCTTTAATGCAAAGTTAAACCTCTCCTTTCCAGTCTTTCACTCTGGGAAACAGAGAGAGGTTGGAACTGCAAATTCTTAAGTCACTGCCATGTTTAACCTAAGCCTTCTCCAACACTTTACTTCCATCCCTTCTCCACACTTTGCACACTGTTCCTCTCCACAGGAGCCCATCCTTCTCTTGACTTCATTTACCCTTGGGAATTTTTCAGAAGACAGAATGGGTGCCAAAACATTGTAACCTACATCCCTTTCACTCAGAAGCAAAGAAACAATGATGCTCTGAAGTTATGGCTAAACATATAAAGACACAAAGCCCTCCTATGCTGCTGTCACTGGAGGTGCAGCCCTGGCAGCACAGTGTGGATGATCCACCATGCCAAGAAGCCTCTTTTATACCTTCTGAAGGCCATTATGAAACTGCCTGAGGTGCAGGAAAGCAGCAAAAGACACAGAGTACCTTTCACATGCAAATGTAAGAATAGGAGAAGCTACCACTGGAGGCAAAGAATCAGACAAATATAAATGCCAAATCCTGGCAAACGCAGCCAAAAGCAGTGTGTGTCTGGCTCCACGCACCCAAACTGAAGCTTTCTTGGCCCAAGAGATAACCAGGCCTGGGGAGGGAATGTGGAACTGTTTAAATGACAGAAAAAAAATCCTTTTTTGCAACCCTGTTATCTTGTCAAGAAAATTGTTGTGGTATGGAAGGTGGATCATATGAAAGATGGGCAACAGCCCACAGACAGTCTATGGTCTTCCAAGTTTTGACCAGAACATACTGGGCTTTGTCAACCTGAGAAGAAAACATGCCAGTGAAAACAGATCTTCTTCCCAAGATGAGATCAAATACATTCATTTTGTTCCAGGCCAACAGCTTCTGGTTTCCCCCCAATTCTGATTCAGGGTTTAGATTTAGCTCTCTCAGATGCTTTCCTCAAAGTCTGCTCCACCAAGTTTGTGGCCAAAACAGCACTGTGGCAGGTAATTCCAGGTCTGACCCCGAGTGGGTTTTGGCATGCAATCAATGCAGCAGCTTGGTGTGATGCTTTTGTCTTGGTGGGTAAACCCTGTAAGGCTGTGAACCTTGTTTTCATCTCCTTGTGCCATCAGCACCACAGTCAGATTCTGTGTCTCAGCCTCAGTTTAAACACCACTTGTTTATACATATCCTGTGGTTTCTCTGGGCAAGACTAGGCACATATAATCCTTCCTCAAAACAGGAGCTATACTAAATATTATAATGTTTAGAATATATATATATGAGGGAAGCATTCCTTAGGATTACTGTGGTAATAGCATATAGTCCAATTAGAGACACACAGAGGACCAGATTCTTTTAAACTCATAGGATTATTTTTTTAATGTACTTTTCAGGTTATTTCAGTCACCCAAAGAAGCTGGCTAAAGAACTGACTCGAAAAAAATGTGGATCTGGACATCTACAACATACATTACACTTTTTTTCTAGTAAAGAATATGCAACAGCTGATGTAAATCGACAAAGCTTTCTTGATTTCAGTGCAGCGGTGCCAATTCATAATGTACAAGGATTTAGCTGTACTGCTCCAGCTAAAAAGCAGAATTTAATTCAAGCTGTCCAAATATACTTTTGACTCCTATATAAAATACAGAAGAAGAACAAATAAAGAAGAGACAGACATGTTTAGATGAGACTACTCAATGAGATGCCTTTTCCTTCTTTCCCAGAAGTGTGCACTCGTACAGCACTGACAACCCTCCGCCCTTCTCAGTATTTTCTCTCTCTCAAAGGACTAACATGGAACAACCTCATCCCACTTGCACAGCATTCCTGTCTCTCTTCAGCTCACTCCCCTGCCTCAGATAATTTCCTCCTGATGTCTCAGGACACACAAGAATACAGGCTTGGAAAAGGGGTCTGTCACCTGCGACCTTTAGAAGGATCTCAGTCAGAAAGAGGGGAAAAAATTACCACCAGAGCAAAAATCCTGCAGGTAATTTGGGGCAAGGAGCAAAACAGGTACTCACCAGTCCCTGTGTCCTTGTTTAACACCCAGAACTGTGTGCAGGTGCCCATAAAGCCCGGTTCCAAGTTGCTGGGAGGTCTCATCCTTCCATGCATGGCTGTCCTGGGATCCTGTGACAGAAACTTCTTACTGTTAAGTGCTGTTAAGTACGTTGCATTGTGCCCAACATTCCTAACGGCTGGCTTTCCTTATTTACAGCATTGTGAGGAGAGCTGGGCTGCTGGGGCTGGGAGAAGACAGGCTCCTTCCCTGCCGTACCCAAAACACACAGTATACAGACACTTGACATGGTTCTATACAAACTTCAATTGGAATAATGTGCTACTTCTGTCACTTCATAAAGACACATAGCAGTCCTGAAAACAAAGAGGTGATTAAGAAAAAAATCTGTCTTCATTTGTAATGACACAAGAGTTTGAGAGTCCCAATTCTGTGTTGAATACCTGGTAATGTTGTCTGTGTGCTACCAGATGAAGAAATCTGTTTCTCTTTCTGGCACAGCCCAGCAACATCTTTATGAGAGCACAGATCTGAAGTGAAATATCGAGATTAGGGGAAGATAAGAAAAGAAAATTCTTCATAACAATGAAGAATTATACTTACACAAGTACATCATCATAAAAATATTATCTTTAGAGTCCACTTCATTAAATTTTTTTCATTCCCCAGTGGATGATCACATCTGGTAAGACAGAGAGAGAGAAAACTCAGAGTTAGTCACAGTAAGAGGGCAATTTGCTGTGATTGCCCAGTAAATGCATTCTATACCTGACAACTTATGCCAGTGGCCAGACTGGCACCTATGTATGGATAAACCACTATGTCTGCATGATTTAAATGTATTTCAAGGCAGATAGGTTTTCACATACTATTTCACAAAGTATTTCCTTCTCTGATAAAATATTAATAGAACACTTCACTGAAAACAAATAATACAGATATAGGTAACAGCAGTCAAAAAATTCGATGGAGTTTGTAGAAATAAAAAGTAACAATGCTGGAGAACCATAAAAAACCCGAAAAATCCTTTAAAACTTGATAGTGTCATATCATGTATCTAAGAGATGTTTACTGATACTTACTTTCTTTAGAGAAGCATGTAAGAAAATGAACTTGCAAAGCAACATTTATTTTTTCTTGCCTCACTTTAATTAGATTACCCTACTTGGGTTTAAAAGACTTACCTACACTATAATAATCTGTATCTGCCAGCTACAGATTTTTGCTTTAGAATATAAATAGCACATTGAGAAGTTATTAGCATACAAACTGAATTCCTTTTAGAAAGAACTGACTATTCAGGTGCTGTGTTTTCATATTTATATATAGATACCCATACACACTGTTTTAATCTCTCTGCTCTCTTGTAGGTAACAAAAACTTTTTGATGTTTCTTTTCCTTTATCTTGTCGGGGGAGAAATAAAAAAGAGAGCAATAAAAAAGATTGTTGGTTACTTGCACACTTTAAGGCCAGGCTATTAGATTAGCAATAATTAATATTTGATTAGCACTGCCATTAATGGGAATCCCATCACTGATGCCCATGAACTATGAATCAGGTGAAGAAGCCTGTGAAAATTTGTTAGAAAGTCAGAATTAATAAAAAGTTGAGTAAGGCTGCATAAAAAGAAGGCAAAGCCAGATCTGCACTCCTGATACTTACACTGGACACAAACAATGGGAAATATGAGACACACAACAGCTCCATTTTTAATTTTCTGACTGAACCCTGTATTAAGACAATATATTATTATTTAGCATCAGTGGAGTTTCCCTGGTCTGAAACAACTGAAAGTGAGATCAGAGTCAAATCCAGAATTTGCTGGAGACAATGGAGAAGGACTTGAGGGAAAAAATCCACAACCTTAAGACTTGTTTTTCCCTTGAAAACATCACCAGATGAGATGGTCTTATCAATCCTACAACACAGACTGATGTGTTAATTAACAGTTATGAGAATAAGAAGTATTAACTTACTGTCCCTGCACTTCCACTTGAAACCAGATGAATTTTATCTTTAATTTCTCCTAGAAACTGAGGGCTTGCTTTCCTTTAGTGCTCTTGAAACAAGCACAAGGCAAATTATCAAAGAAAGCAACTCAACAAATACAAAAAACATACTTCATTCAAATTACTTGCAGGATTTCGCTGTCGAGTCATTTGAAACTGAATCTTGAGTTGTAATTGAAGGGAAAAAAACCCCAAACCACAAGATCTGGTGTCAAAGATCTTGAAAAATAACTTGGCCTTGCCAAACTGTCCCTCAAGATCTGCAAACACACAGTTGTCCCTGACCTCAAGTCAACATAGCACATAAACCTGCCACTTTTCTCAGCTCTTGAGTCATCAGAATAGGACTTCCTCCAAAGACAAAACGACTTATTTCTTAAAATCAAGTTATTTTAATGATGTTTATGAACTACCAGCAAACTGCACTTACCTTACCCCCCTGAATCACGCCAACCCTTTGTTTGAAGTAAAGCAACACGCCCCAGTTTCTGTTCTCATTCAGAAGGCAAGATTTACAAAATATTGTGCTGATGGCTTATGGGGGGCTTCTCACTGAATGCAACACGTATTTTTAGCTCCCTTCAAACCACTGGAAACGAAAGACAAAACAACAGCTGACTACCAAAGCACAGAGAGACACTTCCATTTCTAGAAGAAACTTTGATCTGCGGACTGCTGTAGAAGATGTGGAGTTTGGGGCAGATCATTTTCATACAGAGATTGTTTTCCGTGATATTTTCAGTCAATTACCCCAGCTTCCCACCACAGATACATAAATCAGACACACACTTTCTTAATTATTGGAGGGAGTGGCATTGTAAATCTCTGCTTTTCCCAAGATCTACAGCCTCATAAAATGAGAATAATGTGCATCATCTCTCTTGCATAGCTTCTGGCATGTCATTTGCACCCTCCTTCCAGCATAACTGAATGCTCTGTGGGATATTTGTAGTAATAGTCATCAGTCTCTCTAATGAAAGAAGCCTGGAAAAAATATGGCACTTTAACTATCAGATGCTATTTCAGAAAAATAAATGCTAACATTTTCCAAATACATCTGATATTCTTACTAGCATTAAACTTGGGTATGTTGGTGAAAACATTTGTATATTGGGCCATCAGGACTGAAGCTAAAACCAGCTGGAAAAAACAGAATTTAATTTTATGACATTTCTCTCTCACCAACAGACCCAAATTAGGGACAGGGTGGAGAAGGGCTGCTCTCAGGTGAGTTATCTGTGCCCCTTTCTGTTGCTTAATAAACCTACACTGTAACTCTATAGGCACTTAACCTCCTAATACTAGGTGGTGTTTAATTACACAAGTCATATTTAACAGGGATAAGAGTCTGTTCCTCATGGAGAAAATTTAGAAGTCTGGAAATTAACTTCCTATTTCAGTTCCTGGCTGACAACCATTTTATTGCTTATTGTTTTATCATCATAAATCCAGATGCATTATGTTTAAATTTCTATCTGAGAGCTACTATCAGCTCAGTTTAACTTTCTGTTTGAGTACAAGCTACTACTTTGATAGTTGTTCCTATCACAGAGCCTGTAGAAAAAATGCTGTTTACCAAATGCAACAAAGATAAATCTTGGGTGTTGAGACAAACCCAGTGTAATACAAGTTCAACTGCGATTGACTGGAGATGGTGCCACTCAGAATTACCCTTGATTCTGCAGAGTAATTCAATCTTAAACCAAAGCACAAAGAAACAAAATCTCCCCGTTTGCAGAGTTCCTGACTTCTGTAGGGTCAGTGATAACGAACATGCTCCCTGGGAGAGTAAGGCACCACAGGACATACGGCTCCAAAACTTCCAAAGCCCAGGTCCAAGCCATGCCTTAGAAATACATTGCCAGTAAAACTGTTCCCTTGAATAACTCAGCTTTGATTTCCACCAAAATTCTTATTATTCTAGAAGCCTCCCTTCTTACCTCCTACTTTTAGGGTAGCTACTCATCATATTCATTACCCAGTATATTTGATCACCATGCTCAGTAGAGATGCAGTAGGAATTAAGGTAACAGGAAACCCATTTTTCCAAGCTTCTCCATGACAAACACGGTATTTCATAAAATAATTCCACTGCCCGACCTGGAATTTTATGCTCCCTCTGAGCATGACATATTTTGCACCTATGAAGTCAATCAAATGCCAATGTTATTTTTTCTTTTATTACCCAGGGCCAGCAGAGCAGTTTCAGTAAAAATAATTTATACCAACTGTTTCCAGTTAATGGAAATTCAAAGTCTTCAGACAGTATTTTTTATTTCTGGTGCTTGAATTCTCAGAGAAATAGCGAAGCATAATTGATCCCATATGCTTTTTATTGTTTTCCACATGAAAGAATCACGATTTTCAGTGGATCATCGAATTATGCTGCGGCCCTGTGCCAAGTCATCAAACAGCGAGGTCACATGTGATGAAGGTGCAGTGTTCAAAGCAGGAATAGCATGTATCATATCTTGGAATTGAAGGCTTATTTCACTTTGTCTGAGTGAACCCAGCCAAGAAATTTTCTGGGGTTTTCCACAGTCTCCCTGTAAATTATGGGAACGAGTCCAAGAAAATGCGCAAATATTCATCGCTAAACAACAGGATTACAGAACACTCTCATTTCTAAGAGTACATCACACTGGAGCCAAGCCATTGCTTCAGCCACTTCAGAGATGCTAAGAACCACCAATATGAGGTTAACTGCACCTTCCATATTTCAGGAATATCACTGACACAGAAAAAGTGTTGCTGGGCATCACGTTTGCTGATTGTTTGGAGTATTAATTTATCTGCTTTACATGTCTGCTTCACAAAATCACAGTTAAAAGAGTATTTTTAGAAAAAATCCTGCCAATTTTTCAGCTTTGGGGGAAAAAAACCACTTTTCACTTTGTGTGCAAGTCTACAGCAGGTTGAGGAACTGAACCTTTTTATCATTCTTCGACTAATTTTGTGAATCTACTTCACACTTTTACTTCTGCTGTATCATTTGAAGCCGAAAACTTGCTGGCAGGAGAACATCACCTTCATGACACATGTCTTCCACAATGGAGCAATTACGCACACATCCAAGAACTACAGTTCCAGCACCAAGTGACAGTCAAACCCTAAGCTTTAAGACTACTTAAGTCACTGCAGTGCTTCCAGCTTGGACAGGGTTTTAGTAAAGGGGAGACACTTTCCATGCTCTGAAAGTTTGCTCTTCACATCATACAAGGAACAACATAACACAGGGAGTGACCAGGCAAACGGGGATGTATCTGGAGTTATAGAATCTGAACTGCTCCACAGGGGTGTTGCACATGCCTTTCTCATCAGCACAACTTTTCTTTTTCATCTCACATACAGAACCATTTCTAAAATAATGGATACATCACCAAAAGAATTCATCAGAGGTTGAAGAAATAAAACTTCCATTTAACAGTTCATGAGGCCAATATTACCAGCTGAAGTTCAGTTGGCACCTTTTATCCAGTGGTAGGATTTCTGAGGAGAAACAGGAACCAAGGCAGATTTTATCTCTCAGCACTTCTCAGGCAGGAAATTTAATTTTTCACCTTCTGGAAGGGTTTCAGCTGTAAAGACTTTTGAAGGAACACAATGGCAGTATGACCTAACTTGATGGCTTTAAAGAGAGGAAATACTAAATTTATGGCAGGGACTATGTTATAATCCAATACCTTGGCCCTTGTTAGAGACAGAACAAAGAGGGCTCTAGGGGATGATCTCAGAATCTTTGTCACCACAGCTCCTCCAGGTCATGTGGATTTATGAAAACAGCAACCTTCCCTCAAAACAAGAGCAGGCAACCAAGACTGAGGAAGAGCCTTGTTAGTCCTCTCTGCACACAAGAATATAAAAATGGCAATCTTGCCATTTTCAAGTTCTCCCTGCTTTTTGCCTCTCTGGATACTCTCTTGTTCATAAATCAATTAGCTCCATTAAAGGATTCCTTTATACCAGATCAAGACCAGAACTCTGAATGGCAGGTTTCTCCAGGGCTTAAGCCCTTCATCTGCTGCTTAGATCAGAAACAGAAAGCACAAAGAATGGGATGAGAAAACAGTCACAACAGAAATTCTAGCTGATGTTCGTCCTAGAAGACTTCTGAATTTGATAGACTGACCTTGAAAATCAGATTTCCCATTCCATAGACCAGTATCTGTTGCAAGAGGACATGGCAAAATTGTAGTAGTATGCATGTATGAGAGGCAAAGCAAATGTTTACCTATCAAATATGTCCAAATATGTGCAAACACCTATCAAGTGTAAATACCTACCTACAAAGTTTTCACACTCAAGAGGACATTTTATATTTGTCTCTTTTTTTTTTTTGGAATTGGTTTTGAATGCAGGATTACCCTTGCAGCTATTTAATTTTTCTTTTTTCTCCTCTGCTTTTTTTTTTTTTTTTTTTTTTTTTAAATTACACATTCCTGGGTGTCTGCCTAAGGGAATTTGGATGCTCTCAAAGAAAGGGAATGCTTAGGTCTGTCTCAGCAAGAGGAAATAAGATGAGGTTTTGCTGGAAATTGCTACAGAGAAAATAAAAGGATTGGGAAGGAATCTGAAGTATTAAACCCCACATAAGTCCAGCTCCCTGTTGTGAATTCAGCAGCAGTTTACAGCCAGTTTTGATCTGTGTGTCTTGCCCTCATTTTCTGAAATAATTTGTATTTATGTTAAACACACACCAACTTCACCCTCTAAAAATGCTAAACCCTCTCACAAACGAGCTCCTGTGTAAATACTGTTGGGTAAACAATACTCAAAGAAGTCAAGACACTATAACAAATAATTAGAGCTGATGACTGCAGCTATGAAATGCTTTTGCCAGGGGCAAAGAAATTAATAATCCTGCTGTTGTACCGTAGCATCTCTTATGCAAAATGCTTGTCTTGACTATTTATTTAGATGTGTGCAATGAGACATGAAGCTATGGTTTCTGTAAAATCCCCCAGGGGAAGCTTAGAGAGCCAAAACATCAGGGTTTGGGGCTTTTTTTTGATGTTGTGTTCTGTAATACCCTTTGTATGTGTTTCCCAGCTCTACATATATAAGATTAGAAGCAAAACAGATCACTTCTCCAGCAGAAATTTTGCCATGTGGCTTGAGAGATGGCAAAGCATTCCTTGGTATACTGTCACTCCACATATCCTGCCTCCTTGAAAATTTTATTTGGAGGGTGACAGTAGCAGTAATGTGTGCTGATGATGAGTGCACTCCATTCCTTCAGGCATATTCTAGGGATTTACTATGCTAAACCATACTTTAAAAGCCATAGGTACACCCTTTGTTTCTATATATTGGCATATACTCCTTCTCACAAATATCCCACAGATTATATTCCCTCTTGTAACATAGAGCCCATCTGGAAATGCTTCCAACTGCACACAGTTCCTATTTCTTTGTGGAATATATTCACCAAAATGGCCAAGCCAAATGGGAGGAAGCGCAGACTTTTAAAAATAAACAAAAGAAAGTCAAGACAGTTCTCAGCTTTGCGCTGCTCGTCCAGCCCCAGCTAGAGTTGAATTAACAACATTTCTACCCCACATCCAAGGACCCTCTGGCTTCTCATTTGCTCCTGTTTACAGTGGAATATTTAACACACTAGCAATTCTGTGAAAAGGGCAATGCAATTTCACCTCCTTACTGCCGCACATCCATCGCGGTCGACCATTTCCTCTGCGCCGTTCCACAGCCTGTAACAGCTCTGGAGTCCAGGGCCAACGGCGTGAACCCAATTATCCCATCTCTCCTTCTACTTCCCACTCTCCTGGGAGCATATTCTGAGCCATCTGCTGTCAGCACCAGTAGGTCTGCAGTCCCTGTAAGTGTGGAAATTAGTTCAGGGTCAAGGAACACGAAAAATCTCTTTTCCCACATGTTGGTCACTCCGAGGCCTTGCAAGTCACCGCTGTCACAATCCCACCCCAAACACGCTCCATGCTCACAGCTCCTCACAAGAACCATCAGTTGCATGGTTCCAAGATGTGAGTTTTTTGGTTTTAACTTCTTTTAGGAGTTCTCACTGTGGATCAGGATAGATGATGAGCGAATGCTCTGCCCATTTTTAAAAGGTGCTGAACTCTGCTTGAGAACTTAATTCTCTTCAATGCAAAGAGACAGCCCTTGTGAGCATGAAGGAACGATTCCCAGGGACTATCACCACTGCTAACAGATGGAGCAGAGCTGTCACCAAAGCAAGCAAGATTTAAATCTCAGCTGGGAGTCCAGGAACTCCCCAAACTCCCTCATCCCGGAGACAGATGACAAACTGGACCCCTATTTCCAACACAGCCACGCTATGGGGAAGATAATCCTGACAGCTTTTGCATTAAATGGCTTCAGACAGATACAATTGGCTTAGCAAACCTAACCAAGGACCTATAGCTGGGACTAGAGATGGTCAGAGGTGGATTTCAGATTTCTTTCATTTTTTTTCCTGACAAAGGTAGTATTTTGCTGTCACAGAGCCTAATGAAAAAAAGGTCCCTAGGAACCAGAACATGCCTGGTTCACTTTGGTAAGCAGAGGACCACTTTGAGACTTGGGAATTATGTCCTCTGACAAGGGCCTCGCATCCTTCTCCAGAAACTCTGCTTAGCTTAGGGAAATGTAGATTATTATTATTGCAGAGGAAAAATAAATCAAAATGCCACAGTTCTCTCTGGAACGAGACAGGATTAGAATATTATACTGGAATACCAACAGGGAAGATCAAATTCCTTTTTGGCATCCGGAACCAAACTCTGCAGCATGAGCATATTTTTGGCTCTCTTTTGGCTTATTTAGACAGTAGCACTGACTCTGCAATTACACCTTTTAATATTGCAGAGTAGTAATTATCTCTCCCTCTTTTATTCACATTTGTCACAGCAACTCCCAATCGTGCACAGAAACTTTATACAAGGTAAATGTGACTGAGCAAATCTGAAACTCAGCATCACTTCTTCTTGCCTTTCAAGGTAGCAGATGAAGACAAAAAGTGTTCCTGGAAGATTAACTTGATTAATAAAAACATCTGCAGGCTCAGTGCTGGAAAAAATAAAAGTCCTCTCTGATCCTTTGGCTAGGAAATCTATCAGTGTAGATTGATAAATGTGCTATTTTTTCTAACAATGAATAAAACAGCTGAGATATACTTTGTTATGTATGTAGGGAGCCTAGTAAAAAACACAGATAATCTGGAATATTGTGTTAATGTGCAACTATCACCGACAAATACTGATGACACTGGAAAGCTGGAAGAGAAATGCTTCAATACTCTCATTGTCCAAGACAACCAGAAAACTCATCTGATTACACTAATCCCAAAAATAGGAACCATACCAGGGATTTCCAGCTAATAGATTTCCTAACTAAAATTGGAAAGGTAGCAAAAACTCATGGCTGTCAAACTGCACTACAAGCTTTCCACAAATGTACAGAAAGGTCACATGGGTTTCATGAATTGGGTGTTAAAGGCATGTTCAAGGAATAATGCGGTTAATGCCCAAGGTCTGATCATTTCAATAGCCTTTAGCTCTCAGAGCTTTTCGGAAAGCATTTGATAGCACTGAACATCTTGAGCAGTTCTCAAACAAAGGCTGCTTGGGACCAACAACATCCAAAAGGCTTGAAATACTGCATGAAGTGCCCTGGTAGAACAGATGGATATAAATCCTGTTCCTTCCAGGAAAAGCCATGAGTGCCTCAAGGCTGTCTGCTTCCTCTCCTTTTAACTTTTCCACGGAGACAGGCACTACTTATGCATCCTATGTGCATCTCATGTTTTATGCCATGAATAAAACACTGCTGGTGTGATGTCCAGGTAACCAGGACAGCTACAATCAATGGCACAGCTAACATCAGGTGACTGAGAGGAAACATAAAAGCACTTCCAGGTCTCTTCTGTTCTTTACCTGTTCTAGCTCGCTTTGGTGGACTTCCCCCACCAACACACCTTATCCCTATACACCCAGGAGAATCTCCCCACTGTCTGTAATGGGAACAGACTCTGGCCAACAGAGCACTTTTGAAAATCCCCTCCTCAGCGACAGGAGGGAAGCACAAGCCACCATAATCACACTGAGAAAGATCAGAAACACGTAAGCAGTCTGTTACCCAGACCTTTCCAAAACCAATACCCCCAACCAGCAAAAATGATAGAGACCAACCTCTGCCCCCATGAGGAGATGATCACAGGAGTAGGGGCAGCATCTCTGAATGAATCCTTATGCACCCTCCACAAGGCAACAAAGAGAACAAAAACAAGGGGTCGCAACAGCACTTTGTTCCATATTCTTCCAAGAATATATTCACTTTTGTTTTAAAACATTCGAGTCTTCTTTACCTTCTCATGACTTGCTCTCAGATCACTAAGCAAGACACAACTATTCCACTTCCAGATGAACTTGTACTATAAAAATTCAGGCTTATGACAGGAAGACAAAACATTCCTGCTATTACTTGCTATGCTGCTAACTGTTCCTATTTTGTTTATTTTTCTGGTAAAAAAAGTAGGATCCGCAAAGAGTGGAAACCATGCTCCAAATAGCACATTATTCCATTGAAATGCAAGGCTTTCTAAGTGGTGATAATGTACAGCAGAGCACAGGAGTCACCAGTGTGAGCTGCTGCTGCTCTGGAACTGCTTGGAAAATGTTCCTTTTCCTTTTTCTTGGAAAGTAAACAGAGACCATGGACTGAAGTGTAGAGGCCTGACATATCCAGATAGTGATCCCAAGGCAAGAAATCCTGCCTGCAAGGCTCTCTTTCACAGCCATCTACTCCTGCAGTTGTCATTCCCATTTGCACCCAGTTCCTATCTCACCTTGCAGAGCGGAACAGCATCCGAGTGCTGCACGGTGGTAACAGGTGGTGATAATCCCACAGATTTCCTTGAAGATATTATGGGAAATGAAGTTTTCACTGCCTGGCCCACACTCCTAATGTAAGAATGTGAGCAAGAGTATGGAGGACAGCTGGGAGGGGAGGATCTGCTTCTGATTAGAGGGGAGGAATATTGTACTCCTTGCGTGAAGGCTCCAGGACCAGAAATCATCCTATGCCAATGCTGCCTCTGAATTTTAATCTTACTGACTCCATAGAGACCTAAATCCAGCTGATGTATTTAGGGACAACTGATGCTCTGCTCTCCAAACATGTTCTGCACACAGTAATGCTCAGCCATTTTGGAGGCACAGTGCTCTTCCTGCACTTGGAAAAAAGGAAGTGATTCCAGCAAACGTAAAGAATCTATCTCTTTGTTCATTCTGAGCACAGAGAATAACACTAATGTCTCAAACATATCAAGGGACTTATTTCCTGAGAAGTGTTTCCTGAGTTAGTTCAGAATGATTTCTAAGAGCTCACCACAGCTGATAGTCAAAATAAATCAAATGGCAAACAATGTGTAAAAAGGTCCTCAGTTAAACTGCCAGTCACATCTGAGAAAACAGGTATTACACATCTACATGCCATAAATTCCCAGAAGCATTGCATTGCTGCTTTGCAGTGGAAGCTCCACTAAACTCAGACTTAGACAGAGCCATAAATACAGCAGTGAGGTGCAATTAAACAGCTCCCAGCGTAAGCCATGGGTTTTACACTCCTTTTGCAGTGTTATAAAACAGTTCCATCCAGCACAGGCGAGCAATGAATCATTGCACTCAAACAACAGGACCCATCTTACAGTCAAGGGAATCCCATTTCGTTCCTGGGAGAGGACAACGTTTTGCCCCCCCTCCAAGGAAATCAGAGGAATTTATGCTGCAGAAAGGACTCCAAAGCAAACACCCAAAGCAATGATGCACTGAACTACCTTCCAACCTGGAAACCACATTAGTTGGGGCTGCACAGCCCTTTCCCAGTTTAAGAAGACCTGAACAGTGGGTTTGCTAACTCAGGCCAAGAGCCAGGCTCTGCTGCTTCAAGTGTCAGTGCTGGTTTATCTACAGGCTACTGAGTTCCACCTTATGGCTGTTCCAAATCACAGCAAACTTAAAAGGTCTTGGCTCTCCTTTTGCGGTTACTTTTGCCCTAACTACATGTGCAGATTTATAAAGAAACTAAGCAGCAAATGCAGAGGGCTGAATGCCATCAAGCATCAGGCTCACTGAGGATGCATTCTGCTTAGCTCAACAGATGATAAATTCAGAGGGTGCTAATTTCTAGTGGTGTCAACTAATGCAGAATGACATTGTGTGTTTTACTATAACTGCAACAAGCATTAGGATTCCCACATACAACCTCTGAGCCCACTCAGGAGGAAAAAACATAAAAACTTAGAATGGTGCTCAATACATGGGATTTCAGTAAATGCATACCACCAGTAATAAATGTGACAATAAAGGAGGTAAACAAGCAAGCAAAATACCACCAGTTATTTGCAACAGTGCCATCAGTGCTAAATCTCCTCAAGCCTGGACCCATTTGAAGAGGTTCAAGTTGAATGTGCTGTATTCCAACAGTCTGATGTTTGATGCTACAGCCAGAAAAACAGAGACAATTCCAGCCCCATGTCGCTGTCTGGGCGGAAGGCAGGGAGACCTTTGATGTGGATACAGAACACGCACCCCTCAACTTCATGTCAGTGTTCCAGTTTACTTTGCTTCTGGCTTTACATACAACATATGTTCAGTTATTAGAGGTTTTCTGCATATTACATCACTGTTACAAGTGACCTCATGAACTCCCACCACTAATTCAAAAGGATTAGCAACACTTGCTCGACATCGCTTTGAACTTACTTCTACTGAAGGATGGGCTGGTGAACAGAAGCACATCCTCCTGCAAAAATAATAGAAAATAGGCTTTGGTATCTGTTAGAAACATGTGTACCAGCAGGCAACCTCCTGTTACAACAGGGAATTACTTTTGATAAGGCACACAGCTTTGATCAAACCCTCCTACTCTGTTCAAATACATTCACCCCCATTGTCTTATGCAGTTCCAGTGGCTAAGCAACTTCAGCTTCAATTACTGCAGCCTGGCTTGTGATAGATCACAGAATCAAATGGCCACAGTAAATTATACAGAGTTCTAGATCATAGCTGTTTCCCAAGTATTCCCAAAAACTTGAGGACAAAAGGCATTCAGGGGTTTACAGCTCTCAAACAGGATTTTGCACTGAAAATACCTTTTTCTTTCTTTGAAATAACAACAACAACAACAAAAAAAGCTGGTTTTATACTTTAAAGAAAAAATCCACCTTTAATTAATTACAGAATAAACAAACCATGCAGCCATTTTTTGGTTTAAGTTTCTGATGTGTTACTTTCCAGTGCAGCAATCATTTAAGGCTTTGTTTTGTTGTTCAGATTTGGAAACAGAGAAATACGAGGAGAATTAAGTGAGGAGTAGACAACAAATAAATAAAAGAGTGCAGTACAAAAGCACTGTCTGTTTTTTCACTGAAAATTGTCCCATCTGACTGTTAAGACACTCTCTTTGCTGTAACGTCAGAAGCAAAGGTTCACGAGGAAACTAAGGGGTCCTTCCTTTGCCACTTTGGGATTCAGAGCCTTAGGTTATAAAACCAGCTTTTCCAAGGATAAAGACAACCACAAGACAGATAAAGACAGATGCACCTGCCTCCCCTTCCTCTCTCCTCAGACTGGCGCATCCCCAGCTGTAATAAACTCTTTTATCCCAGGTCATTGCTCTGCAAAATAGGACAACCAGAGGGCAAAATTCAGTCATATAATGTGTATGTTATAAAGGTAAAAATAAAACCACTGCAAAATGTACATTCACAAAGCACATGTTTTGTTTCATACAATTGTTCTTCACATCCAGCTCTTGTTTCTCTCTCCTTCCATTGCAGGGAAGACCACTTGTCTTATGATGAGTGTACAGCCCTTAGCACAGCTGTCAAGCAACTCCAGAGTTGACTGAAATCTAGAAGACAAATAAGACAATGGAACCCACACACAGTTAATCTCAGCAAATCTCAAGATCAAGTATCTGCCCTGAAACAATCAGCCCTTTAAAGGCAGCATGCAGCTTTCACCTTTTTGCCGAGTTTCATAACATTTTTTTCATACACAGAAAGATGGGTGGTGGTGGTGTGAAAATTAACTAAGTGTCATGTCACTCTAAGAATTTGACACAAAACAATGCAATACACTGTTATCCTATAAATCTAACCCAGGTTGGAATTTGGCCAGTGCTGCACCACTGGAAATACAGTTTGCATATTGTCACATATTTTAAATACATGGGCAACAATATATATCAAAAGTAGATTTTTCTCACATGGGGAAAAAGGAAAAAATAATTACAAAAACATAGCCAAATTTTAAGTTAAACCAAATCCAAATAATAATCCCCAGGCAACCATTAATTATGTGGTGTCCTCACTCAATTGAAAAGCCACTGCTGCATCTGTGGCTTAAGGGGCAGGGATGGGAGAGATGGGAGAGCTCTGTTGATCAAATAAACCACAGTACTTAATGCAAATGGAATATTACATAGTTTAAGAAAGCAGATAATACAGGCTGAGTGTGTTGGGTTAGCCCCATGGCTCACAGCACTTATATCCACTGCCTTCCACTAAATACAGTTCACAATTCTATCCATTAATAATTCACATGTAGGACAATATCAATCTGAAGGGCAATGCCAAGCAATCTCTTTTTGGCCAACAGTGTCTGTGTCCCTTCTGCTGGGTCACAGAATCAGATCTTCCGCTAAGAAAAAGTCAACATTACTCTCCTGAACTCTGTGCATATGTTAGTTTACACACCACTCATAACAAGAGCTGACAGTTCTATTCTGCAGTTCACATCTCTGAGTTTTCAGTCTTTAAATTCAATTTTTACCTGGATGCAATTTCCTTCAGAAACTTTATAACAAGATACACTTCCACGGGCTGTAACTCATCCTAAAAAAATCTCTGTTTAAAAGTATCAACTTTTAAAGCTGTTAACGTTCCAGACTTGAATGCCAAAACCTTGGCTCAGATCACATTTGATCCTCATGGGAATTTAACACTTGAAAATGGCAGCCCTTATAAGAAATAGCTGCAGAGTTTTTTGACTGGCTGCCTCTTCCTGAAATCTTGCTGAGTTTTGCAACTTTTGCCTTTCTACAGTGAGACAGAACTGAAGAATTGCAGGGAAATGAGTTTGTCTTGAATGTACTGGCATTGAAACTACAGTTAGATAAAAAATATCAGGTAAGTTCTGTAAATGATTATGTTCCCATGAGTTCAGTGGAACACGTGACTTACTGCTTTTATCTTTCAAGAGACTAATTGGGAAGCAAATTTCCAAGTTCCATGCCTGACTGCACAAGGAAGATGAATTTTGAATAACCTACAAATCCCAACCCACCAAGGACTCGTCTCCTTCTCCAACAGGAAACACAAAGGGTGCCACATGACCAACCAGAAACCCAAGGTTGTTTGAATTTCAAAGAGCAGATTAACACGCTGAGAAAGGCAACCACAAATACCAGCACTGAGCAGGCGAGAAGGAACATAGTCAGCCTCACAGATATTCCTTCAGAGGACAGAGAAGTTAAATTACTCAAAAAGCTATTCACTGCAGACTTTTCACTGGGATCTAGTTAAAATGTAAACAACCACTGAAAATTCAGTTTGTTTTTCCACTTCCTGTGTTATGCAACGTCCTCAAGTTACACAAGGCTGTTTTTTCAGCTGGATCACAACGTGGTAGCATTTGCAGACCAGTGCTGATGTTTCATTAATGATCTCCATAACAAGAAGATCATTGTTTTCTTTCATGTAAATGCTGGCTAAGTTACAAACACATTAAAATTTACTACATTCTTTTTGATGGCCCAGTATCAGAGAGAAGGTCATGTTTCCTACCAGTAAGGACACTCCAATAATGTGGAGGCTATTTTGGGTGATTCAAAAAGCCACAGAGTTAATGAAGTCTGCCAGCAAAGGAGGAAATCTCGGTTGTTCATGTCAGAACAAGAAGAGAACTCAGTTTGTTAGGTGACATCCAAACTACTCTGTATAAAAAACCATCTTGTGCAGCTGAAACTCTTCCCAAAGAGTCCAGACTAACAGCTGACTCAGAATAGCTTCCATTTTTGCTTTACCACAGCCTCCAGAGCACGGCAGGGCCAATCCATTATTTCATTCGTCATTTATCAACCACAAACTACAAGCAGTATTTATCTTCATTTTTCTTAACTATTGATCTAAACTGTTTTAGTTATTCCACTGTTTGGAATAACTAACTAGTTACACTAGAAAGTAAAAACAGCACCCCAAGCTGTGAAAGAGAACAAGCAGAAGACCACAGTGCACACATCAAATAAAAGTGTAATTCTTAGAGTAACATTTTCAACTAACAGTGAGGTTTCAGTGCAAAAATCACTCAGCAAATACATTTTCCCAAATGAAAATCTTTTAGCATAGTAATGAACTACTATAATATTGAGAAAAAAACCAAAATCACATTCTACGTGGAGCCATACTTAGTTTCAGGTACAAGCTGAGGGACCTGACACCTTATCATCTGACACAACATCTTCTCTCATGAATGCTTGTGGGTTTCATTATGCTTCTTTCAGAAATACTGAGATGTTGGATAACTACAAATGTAGTCAGGAACCGAGTGTCCTGATATCCGTGTTCCCAGTTTCTGCTTGGACACAGAATCACAAGCAGCCAGTCCCCAGTGCTCTTCTGACTGAACCTAATGATGCTGACTGACTGCCTCTGTTCGTGCAGCTCTGAAAATGTCAGAAAAATGTGATTTAAAAAAGCCAGTATTTGAGCAGTGCAGCAAAATAGGCATATTTTACTGCAGGTAATAGTGACAACTACATTGCATCAAAGTCAAAAATACATTACAAGGCGTGTCAAAGATCCCTACAAAACTAGGTTCTGGTATCTTGAGCTCTGCATAATTGCTCACGTTAGAAAAAACACTGATGCAAAGAAAGTGTTAACTTTCCTGTACAGGAAAACATTCCTGCTTTTACCACTGGCAGTCACATTTTCCTAGGTCACATCTTATCCTAGTAATCCACAGCAGTGCATAGCCACAGCACTGGGAGTTTGAGCAGGGATCAAGATCTGGCAGGTGCCTCTGGAGAAAGCCTGCAAAAACACTGGGAAAAATATTGGTTCAAGTTGTGAAATCAGCAGGGAACACACCACTCATTTTGCACTTTTGTTCTTGTGCTTGGAAGGAAAATAGATGAATGCATCTTTCCAGATTTCTTGGAGAAAGATCTAAACACAGAGAAAGACGGCCAGGAAAGGAAGGGTTGAGAAGTTGACATGTGCAACAGCAACAGTAACCTAAAGGGAAAAGGCAAAGAGGGGAAAAAAAAGACTAAGAGGGAAACAGACTTGGGATCATACCTAATCTATTCCAAGAACTCTACTAAAATACGAGAAAAGGTGCAGTGGATTTGAGAACACAACGGTAAAATCTTCCAAGGAAACGCTCCTGATGAGTGCCAGGACTTTTGCAACAGCTAAAGTTCCCTGTATTTCATATGAAAACCACCTCAACTTAGATGAAATGAGTTCCTTGTGCATCTCATCTGCTCTATTCCTAGACTGAGATATTCTCTCCTAAGTTTACATACCCTACCCTGCAAAGCCCCACTTTTTGACCATTTCTGCTAGAGAAGAACAACATTAATAGCCTGTTGCCAGCACATTCTCACTGGTTATTCCAGCAACTGCACTGCAATATCAGAGCAACAGGAATGGCGTGAGGAAACACTTCAGGCTCCAATGAGGCAAATTTGTGTTCAAAAAGCAAATATGGTCAAATGAAGCATAAAAAAAAAAATAAATCTGTCATTTGTGGCCACAGAGGAAGTGCAGTTCTTAGCTAGGAAGATCTAAATTGCCAGAGCCACTGCAAGGGATTCTAGTGTAAGGAAATACAAGATCCAGTAGCAGCTTTTCTCTTTTCCCCTCCTCGCATCTACACTTAGACATCCACTGTTCTGTCACTGAATCACTACAGAGGTTGAGAAATCAGCTTGGTTCACAGAGGTCCTGAATTTCTGCAGGTCTTGTTCCAGTCAATGAAAGATGCAAATGTTTGGATTATCAGCAAGTAGGGCAATGAACTGCCTTGTGCTCCAGTTCCCAGGTCCATAAAGTGCGAGCAATTCTTCCTTCTTTTGAAAATGCCAGCAGAATTTTACAAGACAACTGCAGAAAATCCTCTTTCCTACAGTCCACGGAGGTCTGCCCTCATGCCAGTTCCTTTATCCAGTGTTAGTGCCTGATAAGCTGTCCTTCTCCATAATGGAACATCCAGAGCAATGAGCTGGAAGCCCTCAACACTCCTCCTACTCCCCCATCTTCCCACACAGCTATTTATGTCACCCCTGCCTGGTACCTCCTCCTTTTCTCATCTGGGGATGACACCAGTTCTGCTGCAGCAGCAAAGAGGTGAGAAAGCAAGGAAAGGAAACTGTCAGAGAACATATTCAGGAGTAACAGGGATGTGAATACTATCTTAGCCAGCCTGATAATAACAACAGACCTAAAGCAAAACTGGGTAGGAGGTGGCCCTAATCTACAAATATGACAGTCCAAGCAGGTTCCATTCAGCAGCTCTTTTGCTGTAACAATATTATTGCACTAAAGTGAAATATTTTGGCCTCACTCCAGTAATAACCAAGGCAGGCTATTGTTGTTCTGGAAGAAAAGTTTGCTCAATGTGATGGAAGCAGCCACTGCCTACTGGAGAGAAAATTCAACAGAAATCTCTCTTTGTTCTGGGATTCTGGGCTGAGCCTTGATTTCCCTCCCTGCTGTCAAGAAAAGGAATACTCAGCAAGCAGGACCTTAGCACAGACAGTTGGAATATATGTTGCCTTGGTCTCTGGCACAATGCCCGTTAAAACAGACAGACATTTTCTTACAGCCATAAGACCTTCTGGCT